TCTATATATATATGTGTATGTGTGTGTGTGTATATGTATATAATGCACACATATGTGTATATAATACACACATACACACACACACACATGCAAGTATAGGCCCTGGAGGGAGTGTGAGGTAAGAGACATGTAGCTTCCTTTCCCTCAGTCAATGTCCACTGTGTTTCAAGCATTCTAACTCCAATGGAAGTAGTATTGACTTCTTTACAAGCAGCTGATTTCACTCATGCCAAATTTTTATGCTCAGGCTCACTGGGGTTGAGTAAAAACGAGAATTCTAACTTTTAAATAGAGATACTGTCAGCCTATGATATTTAATGCCTTCTTAGTTTCAGTTCTTAGTTTCAACACTGGTCAGAAAACGCTGAGTGTGTGTGTGGTTGTGACAGAGTAAGGGGCTCAACCCAGTTTCAGTGATCCTCTTAAGCGTTTTCACTAATTAAAAGGATGGCTAATACTCAATCCTTTAGGCAAAGTTACAGGAAACCAGGCATTCTTATGCTTTGTTGGTGGGAGCATACCCCTTTAGAGGGCAATTTGGCAATATCTATTTAAAAAATTTAGATGTACGCATTCTTTGACCCAGAAATTCCACTTCTGAAAATATAGCCCACAAAATACTTGTTTATATGTAAAATATCTATGTACAAACATGTTCTTGTATTATTGTTAATAATACTGTAAAACGTCAACAAAATGTCCACTGAGAAGTGTCTCATTAAATAAATTATATTGCAGTCATACAACAAAATACTATTCAATTAAAAAGAATGAGGCAGAGCTGTATGTGCTAGGTGGTAAACGGAGAAAAGAGTTATAAAACAGTAAAGTGGACATCTGCTATTTTTTGTAAGCTCAGCATCCATTTTTTCCTGCTTCTGTTTACAGGCTCCTTTTTTCCCCTTTTTTTGGCAAAATGACTCCACCCTATATCTGGAATCGGGGAGAAGGTTGAGTAAGGCATAGGCACATGACCCAATCAAGTTCTGTCTCTCCTAGGAATTTGAATCTTGAACAGAAATGATACAAAGATAAAAAGTGGTTGGAGGAGGTATATCCAAATGGCAGTGCCCATGAACTCTTGCTCTCTATGTCATGGAAGTTGCTTTTCCAGCGTGACTCTTCATGTCTTCCAGCTTGGTTCTTCAGCTCTGTCACCTACCTCATATCCTTCCAATAAATTCCTTTCCAGGCTTAAGTTGGCCAGAGTTTATTTCTATTGCTTGTAAATCAAATAACCCTACTGATACAAAAGTAATCTCATTTTTGTAAAGTCATATATAATATAGCTGTATTATGTATATAGAAAAAAAATCCAGAAATTTCTATGCCAAATTAATGGAGACTGTTTGTGGGTAAAGACTGGGTGGAATGGGATTAACAAAAAGGTGGAAATGGGGTGATGCTGGTCAAATGGTAAAAGCTCCAGTGATGCAAGATGAATAATTACTGGAGATCTAACGCACTCACTGCAAGGTGACGATAGTTAACAATGTCGTATTGCATGCTTGTAATTTGCTAAGAGGACAGTTCTTAAATTAAATCTCCCTACCCATCCCCACGCACACATGCACACATGTAACTATGTGGAGGTAACGGATACGTTAGTTAGCTTTAACGTGGTGATGATTTCACAATGCATACATATATCAAAACGTCAAGTTGTATTCTTTAAATATATACAATTTTTATATGTTGATATCTCAAGAAAGCTGCTAAAAAGAACTTTCACTACTTAGCTTTACATTTTTCTGTTTTTGTGTATTTTCAGTGTTCTTGAATTACTTTTGTAAATAAAAAAGCTTTGAACATTTTCATGAGGGTGGGCTCTGGAATAAGACTAAACAGAGGAAAGTCTAAACTTGTAAGAAAAATACCCTTACAGAGTTATTCTTTGCTCAGCTGGCTAGAACCTAATACTAATGAAGTCACAGATATAGTTTCTATCATTTTTGGGAGTAATTGTCTTCTATAACTTTTATTGACACAGATTGTCCCCTTAGGCTCAAACTTCCTCCCAATATCTATTATTAGCGTAACAACTGACACATGAAAAGAATCCCAAATAACTTATTTCCAACTGGCCATTAGCCTTTTTCATTTTGATTTTTTGACTTCTGACAAACTCAAAATGTGCAGTACTGAATCAGCTTTTTATTTAATTTTATTTTTTATTTTTTGAGATGGAGTTTTGCTCTTGTTGCCCAGGCTGTAGTGCAATGGCACGATCTCAGCTCAATGCAACCTCTGCCTCTCAGGTTCAAGCAATTCTTCTACCTAAGCCTTCTAAGTAGCTGGGATTAAAGGCGCCCACCACCACACCCGGCTAATTTTTGTATTTTTAGTAGAGATGGGGTTTCACCATGTTGGGCAGGCTGGTCTCGAACTCCTGACCTCAAGTGATCCACCTGCCTCAGCCTCCCAAAGTGCTGGGATGATAGGCAGGAGCCAGCATACCCGGCCTGAATCAGCTTCTTACCAAAACCTCTCTGTAATTTTCTGTTTCTACATTTTCATTTCTCCTAGTGTTAAGCCCTAGAAATAATTTTGATGATGTCTTTACCTTTTCTCTCATACCTTAGTATATGTCAAGTCCTGTTTACTTTAAACTTCAAATTGCATTTCCACCTCTGACAACTACTACACCAGCCTTGTCCATACCCTATTTCCTGCCACCTGATCTCCTTGCTTTCAGCCTCTTCTCTCTAATTCTGTGTTTCTCAAGCTTTTTTGTTTTTCATTATTGCCCCTATAAGGAGCCTTTTTAGTCTTTTTCTCCCTTAATCATCCCCACCACCGAAATATTAATACCACAGGCAGACTGTGTATCTGTTGGTGCACTGCAGTGCTCTGAAGCTACAATAGCATCTAAGACACCCCCCACCCCAACACTTTCACCCACTGGGGGCATCATCAGCCCCATTGAGAATTCATGTTCAAATCATTCTGTATATTATTGTCAAGCTGGGCTAATCTCTTTAAAGTAAAATTTTGGCCATGTCACTGCCCTTCTCAAAAATGTTCAGCAGGCTGGATGCGGTGGCTCATGCCTCTAATCCTCACACTTTGGGAGGCTGAGGCAGGCACATCACTTGAGCTCAGGAGTTCGAGACCAGCCTGGGCAACATGGTAAAACCCCATCTCTACTAAAAATATATCAATTAGCTGGTGTGGCATTGTGTGCCTGTAGTCCCAGCTACTTGAGGGGGCTGAAGTGGGAGAGTCACTTGAACCTGGGAGGTGAAGGTTGCAGTGAGTTGAGACTGCACCACTGCACTCCAGCCTAGGCAACAGGAAAAGACTCTGTCTCCAAAAAAAAAATGTTCAGCAGCTCGTAGCTCTCCCTCTTCCAACAAGATAGCACGCATAAGGAGCCCAAGCCTGGCCTACATGTATTAATACATCTCAGTTTGCTTCACCCTTTTTCCTTCTCATTTCAACGCGGCTCTCCAACAAGCTGCTATCAATTCACTTTTGCATTAACTGTGCCCGAAGTGCTTATTTCCCTCATGTAGGCTAACACTGGCTTTTTGTCAGACTTTGATACTGTTGCCACTGTGCTAGGTCATTTATGAAGTTTTCTCTGCTTACTCCAGATCACAATGATTTTCTGTTGAACGCAGTATTCTGTATTTCTCATCTTGGTGAATACCAGCATATCTATTCAACCTTCCAAATTAGAAACTTGGAAGTCACTTTTGACTTCCTCTTTTGAAATTCCCATATCTATTTGGTCAGAATTAACTGTCAGTTCTGAGTTAAGAAATGTCACTCAGATCTAACTGCCTCTATCCCCACAGCCTCTTCCAGGCTAGAACTGGAAAAAGAGCATCCTGGCTGACCTCGCTGCACTTTGCTTTTCATGACTCCCGCCACTCTCTCATAGTGAAGCACTAATTCTTTCTTTTTTTTTTTTTTTTTTTGAGCCAAAGTCTCGCTCTGTCAACTAGGCTGGAGTGCAGTGGCATGATCCTGGCTCACTGTAACCTCTGTCTCCTGGGCTCAAGTGATTCTCCTGCCTCAGCCTCCTGAGTAGCTGGGAGATTACAGGTACATGCCACCACACCCAGCTAATTTTTGTATTTTTAGTAGAGATGGGGTTTCACCATGTTGGCCAGGTTGTCTCGAACTCCTGACCTCAAGTGATCCGCCTGCCTTAGCCTCCCAAAGTGCTGAGATTACAGGTATGAGCCACCATGCCCGGCTGATGCACTAATTCTTCAAAACAAAGAAATGTCTCATCATGTCACTCCCCTGCTTAAAAATCTCTGATGGCCATGCACTGCCTTCAGGCTAAACTTGAAATACCTTGCCTTAAACAAGGGTATCTACATTCTGTTTTCAACTAACATCGTTCTGCCCTCCACTCCCAACACAGAGAACTCTAGTCACACTCATCTTTTCATCAACAGCAGAGTCTTCTAAGCCCTCTCATGATTGTATGCCAACGATACTTTATTTCCACGTCTAACATGGTACCTAACATATCGTATTGTAACTAGTCTGTTACACGTTTTTTTCTGCTCTTAGACTCCAGCCATTGGAAGGCAGGGAGTATAGCTGCTTGGTATCCCTGATGTTTAGTGCTCACTCTAAAGAGTGCTGGATGACTGAATAAATGAATTTAGTTCTAGAGCAACAAAATGTTACTTAAAAGTTTTACACGGAGTCACAAAAACACAAGTCCTTGACAAGCACGCTGAAAGCATAAATTCTCGATTCTACTTCTTTTGATTCTTCATTGTGTGATATGGCTTATAACAGGAGTTTAATACAATTCTATTCCATGTATATAGAAGGAGTTGATTCCTTGTTCTGTGAGTGGGCTTCCTCTAATCAACAGTAAGTTCATTCTGTGACTTTTTTTGTATACTGACTCTGTGTTAGCCCCTGTGCTAAAGGCTAGGGATACAGGAATGGACAAGGCAGACGTGGTGACAAGCCTCACATAGCTTACTGTCTCCTATGCCAGTGACAATAGTTATGAGCGTAATAAATACCTCCCGAATGTTCTGCTGCTCCACCTCGTGCCGCTTGATCATTATTTTCCGCTTGAAGAAACGACAGTTTTTGTCGTAGTACAGTCTCTGTTGAGTGAGAAGGTGGGCTTCCTCTTCAGCCTGCGTGTGCTGCAAGTTCTCTTTATGCTTGGAGATCCGCTCTTGCTTCTCTTTCTTGGGTGTGCTATGGTCCTCATTCATTTCCTAAAAAGAAAAAACAAAAACCAAGACGGTTCCACTAAAGGAAAGGGATTGTAACAGCCTATTGCAACTGAAGATTAAGTTATTTGGAAAGCCAATGCAAACGTAAGCACAGAAAAGTCTGGTGTTACACATCCTCCTCCTGTTTTCTGCCCATTGAGCATTAAGTGAGAGGGACACTTGTGAGTTTCTGTATCTTTGGCATCTTACTCTCAGAAATTATTTGTTCACTCATTCAATCAACACAAATTTACTAAGCTTCTATCATGTGACAGGCACTGTGAAAGATACAGGATACAAAGTTGAGTAAAAGACCATGATATCTGCCACCATGCATCTTTACATTATAGAATCAAAAATTAAAGAACCGCAGAAATTACTGTGATCACTGCTTTGAAGAGGACATAGTTGGTCCCATAAGAATATAAAATATTTAATCTGGGTGACAACTAAGCTGAAATTTGAAAAATTAGCAGGAGTTAACCAGTGGAAAAGGAGAGGGAAGAATATCCTCAGCAGAGAAAATAGCACGTGCAAAACCCTAGGGGTGCACGAGGAAACATGGCGCCATCAAGGACTGAAAGAAGGTCAGAGTGGCTGGTGCAATGTAACATGAGATGAGTCTGGCCAGGTAGGCAGGATCATTGAGGCTTTACAGACCAATGTAAGGACACTGATCTTTAGTATAGGAGAAACGGATTTCATGTATGTGAGTGTCGTAATGAGATACATTTCAAAATGATTACCCTGGCTGCCATGGGGAGAACAGAATGAAGGAGGCAAGAACATATGAAGATAGCTGGGAGGCTATTGCAAAGATCCAGGCAAGAGAGATGATAGTAGCTTGGACAAAGGAAGTAGTGACAAGACTGAGAGAAGTAGACAGGTTCCAAAGAGAAGAGGTGACTATGCAAATGCCACTAGTTTGAATTTTAGGAAAAAGCATTCTTCATTTTGGATTACAGAGTAAACAAACCATCTATATTTTCAAAAGGACAAAATTCACAATTTTTCCAGAACATCTGAGCAAAGGAAAAAAAAAGCAGTGAATCAGAATAGTTAAGATGTTAAATTATGGTGAAAACAAGACTACTTGTTAAGAAAGTACAGTATAGGACCAATACCTAATGGATGTGGGGCTTAAAACCTAGATGACAGGTTGATAGGTGCAGCAAACCACCATGGCACATGAATACCTATGTAACAAACCTGCACGTTCTGCACATGTATCCCAGATCTGAAAGTAAAAAAAATTTAAAAAAAAAAAAGTACAGTATACGCTTCTTTGTTCATTTGATTAACTGCTCACTCAGCTAAAATCTCCTTTAATTGCTAACACCTGGCTGGGCGCAGTGGTTCACGCCTGTAATCCCAGCACTTTGGGAGACCAAGGCGGGTGGATCACAAGGTCAGGAGTTTGAGACCAGCCTGGCCAGCATGGCGAAACACTGTCTCTATTAAAAATACAAAAATTAGCTGAGTGTGGTAGCACATGCCTACAGTCCTAGCTACTCGGGAGGGTGAGGCAAGAGAATCACTTGAGGGAGGCGGAGGTTGCAGTGAGCTGACACCGCACCATTGTACTCTAGCTTGCGTGACAGAGCGAGACTCTGTCTCAAAAAAAAAAAAAAAAAAAAAAATTGCTAACACCTATTTCACTTAATGTGTTGTGATGCAGATATCATAGACTATTTAATCTCTTAGCCAAGAAGTCTCTGTAAATCAACTTTCAACTATCCTGTTCCAGTGAAGCTGTAAGTGAAATCTTAGAATTGACAAGACAAAGTGTTGTTTTCAGAGTAAGCTGGGATCACAACAGGAAGCCTGGGGGATTCATCTTTACATGCCATGACTTTATTACTTGGTTTGGCATTAACCACTGGATTACAGACCCCCATTCAAATATCATCACAAAAATTGACTCCAAAATCAAGAATAAATTATTTTTGGACCATCTATCATTCTGTATTAGCCATATTCCTATTATCTATCAAAAGTGGAGATTTTTTTTGTTTTGTCATTCAAAGGACAATACCTCTAAGTATATCAATATCAAAATATACACGCCACTTTAAATAGTCTGAACTAAGCTTTACTTCAGAAGAAGTAATATTAGCTTTGCATAGAATAGACACAGAGAGTTAGAAATAAGGAAGGTATCTATTTATTTTATTTTTTTATTATATTTTTTTGAGATAGAGTCTCTCTCTGTTGCCCAGGCTGGAGTGCAGTGGTTTGATCTCAGCTCACTGCAACCTCCGCCTCCTGTATCCAAGCAATTGGTCCTACCTCAGCCTCCCGAGTAGCTGGGATTATAGGCGCTCGCCACCACACTTGGCTAATGTTTTGTATTTTGGTAGAGATGGGGTTTCGCCAGGTTGGCCAGGCTGGTCTTGAACTCCTGACCTCAGGTGATCTACCCACCTCGGCCTCCCAAAACACTGGGAGTACAGGCATAAGCCACCGTGCCCGGCCAAGGAATGTATTTAGAGTGGAGGAAAACCTCAAAGTTTCTTAGGCTATCTCTGTGATCCAGCAATCCTATTATGATATAATAATTAAGCTCAAGCCAATAATTCAGAGAGAAAATGGAAAGAATGTGAACTTTCTGAGTTGGGCAATTCTCTGGTTTTCAAGACTTTATGGTGTCACAACCCATTCAGCCAGTGTGACTAAAATACAATTTTCTGTTAGGTCTAACAACTACCAGCAGCTTAGCAGGGCAGGGCAAACAATTCCTAGGCCCACCCCAAACCCCTCGCTTTCACTTCCTAACTAAAAACGAAAAAAGAACTGGAGGAGAACCTTGCTAAGCCCTGTATTGCTAACCTACAGTTTAGTATATGAGCTCAAACACGTGATTTTATATATACTAAAACAATGCCCCATATTGAATTTTATTAAACCTTGATATACTTAGTAAGTCTACAAATAAGAAACTCTAAGGCTTATGAGAAGAAAAGTCCATGGAACTTCAGACGATTCACCTGTAAGTACTGGTAAAGGGAGAATTGAAGAAATTTGAGCTTTCAGATCAAAGTGCAGTTCTTTGGGAAGAACTTCTAAGTCCACTAGTGGTCTTCAACCAAATATTCCAGAGTCAAGCATGCGTTTATCAAATATTCACATGTAGAGGGCATAGGGATACAGTTGTGAGCAAACAAAAACATGGTCTGTGCTCTTATGATGCTTACCAGTTAGTAGAGTAAGTAGCTGGAATAATCATTAAACAAATGTATAATTAAAACTTCTAGTGTTAGGAAACCAGAGACATCTGTCTTGGTTGAGGCAGTTAGAAAAGGCTTCCCTAGGGAAGTGATATTTGAGTTAAGATCCTAATAACCAATCCTAGGTCTTATAAGGAGAAGCAGGAAGTAACCAAGCAGAATTGTGGTCAGGGAACGCTTGCGGGTAGGGAGAACATCTTGGCAGAAGAAACAGTATGTGCAAAGACCTTGGGGAAGGGTGGAGCTTGATAAATTTGAGGAACTGAAAGGTGACCATGGCTGGTGCAGCAAGGAGTGGGTTGAGGGCAGGGGCAGCACTGGTGTGGGTGCCCCTATTAGTAGGCTAGGAGGAGGCTGTGTAGGGACTTCTAGAATTCTGACTTATCCTAAAAGCAATAAGAAGGCACTGGATTTCAAAACTATGAAGTAGTATGACCAGATTTATAGTTTGAAAAGATCACTTTGACTGGTGTGGGGAAAACACATAGGAAGTAGACAAGGATGGCTTAGAGTTATATCAATAGTTCCTGAAATGTGGTCCCTGAACCAGCAGCATCAGCATCATCTGGAAACTTGTTAGAAATGCACATTTTCAAGCTCTACCCCAGAAAATCTACGAGTAAACAGTGATAGAGTTTTAAAATCTGAAAATCTAGGGGAGGGTTAGCAATCTGTTTTAACAGCATTTTAGGTACTTCTTTTTTTTTTTTTTTTTT